AAGAAGTGTCCCGCCGAGTGCCCTGGTGTGCCTGCTGTGCTGGGCCCTGCCAGTAGCCCTGGCCAGAGTGGGCCGGTGAGGAGAGAGGGCCCCAGAGTGAGGGAGGAGGTTTGGGGTCATGGGCATAGGGTGCTGGCCCCACAGCCAGCCAGGCCTGGGCGGGTGGCCAGGAGGGCTGGAGCTGGTGGTGGGGCACTAGCCTGCAGCCCTCACATGGTCCCGGCTTGGAGACAGCAGGAACCCTCTCCCTAGGGACATCCAGGCTAGCCCAGCCCCACTGTTCCTGGGTGCTGTTGCTCACACAAGTCCCCTGCTGAGGCCATGGACAAGAGTCCCAGCAGGGGGGAGCTCAGAGAGCTCCTTACCTCGATGATGTCTGTAGCGCTGGTCACACAGCACATGGCCATAGCCTGAGCTTCCCATTTGGGCTCCTCATCCTCCTCTGGCAGTGTCATCACTGAGGGGACAAAAAAAGCAGGGGGTGGTAAGACCCAGCATGGGCTGGAACAGTGGTACTGGGGGGAGGGCTCGGGGGGCTGGAGAGCTGCAGGGCAGGGGCACTAGCTTTTCAGGGGAGGTAGGGAGGAGGAGGAGTGGGGCTGCCTCCTGTTTGGAGGAGCAACTCAGCTAAGTGGGATGAGCAACAGCCTGAGAGAGAGCATGTGGGTCAGGAGCAGAAGAGAGGCAGTGCTGGGAACACGGTGGTGCCTCCACCCAGCCCAAGAATGGTCTGTCACAATGCCCAGGAGGGCAAGCAGATGTACTGGGTGATGCTGGTGTGCAGAGGGGTACAGCCCACCACAGCTTCTCTTACGTTTTTGTTGAATGAGTATGTAGAGGGAACGAAGAGCAGCCAAAGCCATCCTGCGGGTCTCTCTGTCCTTGAATGATGTGAGCAGGAGGAGCTGTCCCAGCAGCTTTCCTAGTACTGGGATCTGGGAGTCTTCACTGGAGGCTTGGCTGTGCCCATGGGGAGCAGCCTGGGGAAGGGAGGCAGAACAACAGAAGAGCTGAGGGCTCCCAGAGCAGCAGCTGTGCAGCAGGGAGAGCTGCAGGGAGGGGAGATGGCCTAGCTGGAGGGTGCCTGGTCCTTACCTTCCGTGAGGTCAGAAAATTGACCAGATTCCCAATCCTCCTCACACTCCTCCGACGCACAGAGGCTTCCTCGGAGGAGGTGAAGTTCAGGAGCAGCTGGGAAGAGAGAAGCCACTGGTTTGCCCTGGGAGCAGACACCTGCTCAAGCAGAAGCAGCACCGCTCAGCTCCTGGGCTGGACTCGCACAGCCCACCAAGGCTCCCTTTGCTCTTCAGCAATGGCTGGGTTCCTGCCCCAAGTGTCCCTTGCAGGCTTGAGACAAATGCCCAGACCAGTTTTGTGGCCAGGCTGGAAGTAGGTGCCACCCTCTCCCCAGCCACTGTGCTCCAGAAGAGCCTGGTTGGCAGCCACTGGCTACCCCAGAGAGGTGGGCACCCCCCTGCATGCAGTCTCTGTGGCACTGGCCTGGGGACCATCCACTCAGGAGAGAACAATCCCTGCCCCCCAGGGTGAGGAACTGTCCCACTTCTCTGTACATGCCAGACCTGGAAGATCGTCTGCAGCAGCTCATTGAATCTGGGGGCAGGAATGTTCTGCAGCAACTCCTTTAGCATGGCATCCATGGCTTTCAGGGTCTGCCAGGAGGACAAAGAGTTGTGGCAGTGTTTCCTATTGTGGCCCTAACCAGCAGGAGACTGAGCTGAACTCCCAGAGCCCCGGGAGGGAGCCAGGGGCAATCTGCTGCAAGCAGAGCCACCTACAGCACTGCCCATGGCCAGGCCCATGGGAAGGGAGTACAGGATTGAAGGTGGGAAAGGAAAGCCGAGCTCCTGCCCTGTCTTGGATCTCTGGTCATATAGCAGCACAGGGTGGCCAGGGAGCAGCCCAGAGCCACTCGGGGCTTCTGCAGCTCCCCAAGTACTTACCTTGGAGTAAAGGGCAATGTCCAGCTTCCTCATTTTCAGTTTTGGAGGCAGCAAGAAGACCCTGGAGAAGCAGACTTGTAGAAGGCTCTGCTCTTTGCCCTCCAGCACTGTCTGCACTGAGCTGCAAGGAGAGAGGAGCACTGCAGTGGGACACTGATGCTAGTAGCAGTGCCTCCAGGCCCTATGCAGGTGGGCAGGGTCCTCTGGGGCAGGGGTCCTTCTGGGGTGGGCAGGTACCTCAGCTCAGCAATGGCCAGCATGGCGAGCTGCTGCATTTGTGTCTGCAGCTGGTGCCTGGGCTCCTCTTCCAGCAGCTCCTGCAGAGCAACAGCTGGGATGGGACCTGGCAGCTCCCTGCACCCAGTGCCACCAGACCCTCGCCCTTCCCAGGCCGTGTCCTCACAGGGTGCCAGAGGGCCTTGTCCCTTTCCCCAGTGCCCCCACGTGTCCTCTCACCTTGATGTTCTCTGCCAGCTCATATCTGTGGCAGAAGACATCCAGGCCCTCTGTCAAGCCACTGTGTCTGGTGGTTCTACACAGCATGTGGATGCACTCCAAGAACTTTATCTTCTGGTCCTGCCCCTGGCAGCCAGGGGATGGAGAGACCATCAGGGAGGGTGAGAAGGGGGACACAGGTCCAGCAGCAGAGCCCCCATCAGTTGGAATGGCCACTGTTACCTTTCCTGGGTTGCTGACAAAGTCCACAATCACATCTGCGGCTTCCTTTTGCATTTTGTAGGCAGGGAACCAGCTGGCATCTGTCAGAGGAGGAGGGCAGGGGGGCTGTAGAGGGGGTGCGGTGGCCAGAGAGAGCAGAGGAGGCAGCTCTGCCCTCCATCCAGCCCTCTGCCCACTCCCCTGGCCCCTTCACAGAACTGCCTTGGTTGGAAAAGACCTTAAAGACCAACCCTCAATCTGTCACTGACAAGTCCCCTTCCTTTTACTCTAGAGTCCTAACTGGCTTCTCGAGTCAAGCCTTCCCTATTCCTGATTGTCCTTGGATGCAAATAGGCCAGCACCAAGCAGAGAGGGTGTGCTGCTGACAGCAGATCTTCCTATGAACAAGGTCATCTCTCCCAGTCTTGCCCATAGAGGTAGAGGAGGGACACAGCCTGTTTTCCTGGCTGTTCCTCAGGAACACCCCAGAATTCCCTCTAGGCTGCCAGCACCTCAACACTCAAGGCTGAAGCCCCAGCTGTGGACCCTGCCTCTGGGCACTCAGAAATCCCAGACTTGCTGGTGAAGCTGCTACTTACAGGAGTCATTCTCCATGGTGGCCATCACTCCTCTTGGGAACAGAGGGGGAATCTCTGTAGGACAACAGCTCTCAGGACACGCTCCAGAAAAGAATAGCAGTGCCAATCCTGTCACCTGATGGCAAATAAATAATCATAGCTCAAAGAGAGGATTAAAAAATACCTCTGTTGAAAGGCACAGACCTGCATCCGCCACCACCAGGAGTGTCCCAGTGCAGCTGGCACCTGCGGCAGAGCTGCAATCTGGGCCCTCCTGTCCCTGTCCCAGGATGCCACCTGACAGCAGCTCCCTTTGGACAGACTGCCTGGCATTTCCCATTCTCTGCAGAGGACCTGCTGCTGCCTGTGGCCAGCGTTAGCCACAAGGCCCTCTAGCTCTCCAGCCCACACTTGCCCACCTTGCTCGCAGAAGCTTTTGGCTGCTGCTTTCACGGCTGCCTGGGCCCTGCTCCTTTTGTCTCACTTCCTCCCACACCCCTCAGGGGGGGCTTCTTGTCATTCCTGGCTGAGCCCAGCACCTCAGACTGTGCTGCCAGCCCCTCCTTATCTAGCCAAGAGATCAGCCCAGAGGAACCCCCCCAGAGCCCTGGCAAGCCTGCCAAGGTGGAAGGGCTCAGCCTAGGGCTCAGAAGGGACAGCCCAGCCCATTCTTTTCTGCCCTGCCAACCTACTCAGTAAAATCCATCCTGGGAGCCCAGTCAGAATTACCTTGGAAAGAGGAGGAAAGTTGAGGAGAAGTGGGTAAGAAACTATTAATGTTGGGAAAAAAGGGAGGCAAGGAAGGTGAGTAGCCAGTGGAGCAGGTGATCCCAAAGTCCAGCTCAGCCCAAGTGGCTGTCCCTAACCTGCTCCTCAAACTTGTACACCCTGGCCATGTAATATCACAATCTCCAGGCAGATGCCACCCAGGTGATGTCACAGGGTTGCCTGGCAACGTGTCCCCTTGTCACATCATGGGGTTGCCTGGCAGTGTGTCCCCTCCAGCCCACCTGGTCACAGCCTGGTCACCCCTGCAGCCACTGGGCTCCCCAGGCAAGCAAGGTCTCTTGGTCCTGCAGAGGTCCTGCCTCTGCCAAGAGCTGCGCAGCTGGACAGACCAAACCCTGCTCAGGGCTGGGGGCCTGTTCACAGCCTGGGCTGTTCACAGCCACATGCGGCTGAACCACGGCTGCTGCTCCACTCTGCCAAGGCCTCTCCCAGAGCTCTGGGAGCAATTGCAGGAAGGGAGAGGGAGCATGCAGGGCTCGGCTGCCAGTCCTCCTGGCTTGGATAGAGTGTGGCAGGAGATTGGAGGGAATCGTGACCCCTCCCAGATCCCCCAGGGCCTGGCGCACCCAGGCTGTAACACCCAGGTCAGGCCCAGCCCTGTACCCCAGTGCTGTGCATGCACACCAGCCCTTTCACACCCTTTCCCAGCCCTCTCACTGGTCCAGCTCACCTGATTTTGCTCCACCAGAACATGGGTGTTCACAGAGCTCCTTCCCAAAAGCCCCATCTCACCCACAGCAAATGCAGGAACTGCACAGGAGGGAGCATCCTCAAATCCTTTGGCTTGGCTTGGCTTGGCTTGAAGGTCATCAAGTCAAGATCATCCTTCTTTTTCCCTTTCAATCACCATCCTCTCCTGTGCTGCTGCTTCCCCAACCTGAGTTCATTGCTCTCTGCCCTGCTCCTGCTTCCCCCTCCCACTCCCACCCATCCCAGTCCCAGCCCCTGTGAGGCCTGGGCCCTCACTGTCAATGTGCAAGGGGTTGAATGTGCAAAAGCACATGTGCATTGAGGCTGGGTCCTTGGGCCCTCAGAGCTCCCATTTACCCCACGAGGGCCCAGATTTACCCCTCTGTGAGCATCACAACAGTAAGCCAGCCAGGGAGGCTGATCATGAGAGACACTTAAGACACCACAGACTGTGACCGAGAATGAACCTCCTTATTAGGATCAGCACATACAGATTACAAAAGTCTGATTTATTGTTTTTCCTTTTCTTTTTCAGAAGTAATAATTAAAAAAACCCAAACACATATGCAAAACAACAACAAAACAACCACAAAGAGTGAGATGAATAAACTGGAATGAAAAAGGGCCTTTTTAAATGGCAAAAGTACACAGTGTCAGATTCCCAATGATAGGAATGATCCTTTTCCTGCTAAAGAAACAGGCATAATAAAATCAGAGAATCAATGTTAGGATACAGACAAACCATGACTGGAGAGATAGCCAGGGGCCTTTCTTCTGTGGCGCTAGAAAGAAGATTCCTGGGCAGCTGCAAGAGACATGAGAGGGGCAAGCCAGGAGCATTTGTACAGTGCTACTAGAGGGTGGGATGAGAAATAGCCATCAGAGAGGCTGAGGGACACCCTCAAGGTGCTTCTGCAGCTTCCTGACCATGGAAAACACCAAGCACCCTCGCACAGGCCATGTGCAGGATGTACTCAAAGGCAGCCCCCATAATGGCGACCTCTGGGTCGCATGTGGCCCCTCACAAACCAGCCTTGAACCTGAAGCTCAGCTCCACAAATGCTGATAAGCAGAGCAACCTCTTGGTCCTACATGGCTGTTTCTCACAAAACCAGCAGAACCACAGCAACCTCTGTCTCTTCCATGGCCCCACCAATTGTCCCGCTTGCACAGCCCAACACTGATGTCCCGGGGCGGGGGGGGGAAACCAGGGAGCTCTACTTTGCACTCATTAGCTGTGACAAGGGTGGTGGCACAGACACCTCTGGTGTTTGAATCCTTCTCCTTTAAGCACAATCCTTCCCAGCACAACTCCAGACTGCACTACAGGAAAGTTTTCATCTCCCACTGGCAAACTGAATCCTCCTCAAATATTATTATCAGCACCCACTGACACTTCCACACAGGTCTGGGGCTTCCCAGAGCCAGTGTCCTTTGTCCTGGTTTGAGCCAGGATGAAGCCAATTTTCCTTTTTTTTTTTTCCTTCAGTAATCTTTCTTTTAACTAGTAGCTCAGCATTCCAACTAAGACTGGTAACAGTGGAATGTTTTTCTAACTGCTGGATCTTCAAGGTCACATCTTTACCCTGCCAGCTCAGGCACTACTGGGAGATCTCTGACACCTCCCCCCCCACCCGCCACCCCGCCTCCCAGTAGGAGGCTGGATTAGACAGCAAAATTGGCCAGAGATATTCCATCCCATATATCTACGTAAGCTCAGAGAAAGGTCAGAGATCACAGAAGACAACTTCCTTCCTTCTTCTCCCCTTCTCTTCTGTCCATGGCCAGCATCCAGGGAGGACTCTGTCCATCCCTCACCGTTGACCCCCAGGCTCCAGCTCTCCTGACCCCCATCACTCTCCACTTTCTCCAGCAGCAGTCCAGGATTTTTCAGGACTGTTTTCAGCTCAGGATAGTGCTGTGGAAGTTGCTGGGGGTGGGGGGAGGTGAGCGGCTTTTGCACATATCTGAACATATTTATCTATAATTGCATATATTTTCTTGTATCATTAGTGTTTAATTAAAGCTGTGTAGCTTAGTTTTCAATCCAGCAAAGTCTCTCTCTTTTTCTCTCTCTCCTTCCCTCCTTGGATGGGAGGGGGAGGGGATCGAGAGCGTTGTTATCGAGGGTCCGGGGGGCAAGTTGTGAGGGATTTGGGGCCCTAGGGGTCTATGGGTCTGTGGAAATCCGTGGGGGGGTGTGAGAGGGGTTGGGGGGGGGAGTATGGAAGGGATTGGAGGGGTCCTCAGGGGGTCCTGGGGGTGGGTGAGAGAGACTGGGGGGCCCTAGTGGGAGCTGTGGGTGTACCTGAGGGGGCCTAGGGGGTGTTCAGAGGGAGTAGGACATCTGGGATTAGGGCTATGGGAGTTCCTGGGGAGTCTGGGTGTTCCTAGGGGTGGGGGAGGCTTATGGGGTCCTGGGAGGGTTTGAGGGGGTCTAGAATGGATTGGCAGGGGGTCCTTGGGGGATCCTGAAGGTGGGTGAAAAGGTACTGGGGACTTCTAGAAGGGACTGAGGAGAGAGATTGTGGGGCTCAGGAGGGGGTTCTGGCATCCTTGGCTGATCTACAAAGGTCCATGGGGGTCTGGGGAGTCAGCTCAATCCCCAGCTGGCAGCAGAGCCACTGGCCTATCCCTGCAGCTCCCCAGCAAGACAGGACATAGAGTATCAGTGCAGCGAGGCTCTGATCTACCCCTTCCTGCCTGGCCAGGCTGTGGCTGCTGCAGATGAGTGTCTAGAGCCTCAGCTTCCCAAGGTCCCTGCTGTAGAGCCACAGATCCCACCAGCTGCTGCCAGCTCCAATTCCCCCTGCCCTGCCTTCAGGAATTCTCTCAAACACAGCTTGTAGGAGTCTGGCATTTTTGTTGGGACTCACAGGACCTGAACAGAAAGCAGCAAGTTAAACTTCTGTTCTGGTTTAAACAGTAAAGGTGAATCCCAAGAACCAGAGAACAGAATTGCTCTCTATTACCCCCCCACCCTCCCAAGGGAAGACAGAAGGGGAATAAGGAAATAAACTTTGGAAATTGAAACTAGTAACACACTTACTATAAAACAAGGTAAAAGGATAATATGTGGGGAAATAACAGGTAAGTATCTCCATACAAAACTGATCTTGATGATGGCAGGGATATGGAAAGGCAGGGCTGCTCCAGGGGAGAGGTACACGGCTCCTCACAGCAGGTGGATTCTGGAGTGAGCACCTGGGAAACCCAAGGAAGCAGCAGCAGCCCCGGCAGGGAGAAAGGAGCAGGAAGGGAGCAGGCCCAGCTTCCAGCTCTCCTGGCTTTGATAGATTGACAGGGAGTGGGTGGGAATACTGACCCTTCAGTCTTTCAGGGTCCAAGGACCTTCTCTCTCTAGACGTGTCCAACACCATGCCAGGGTCTCCCAAACCATAACAGCTTCTCAGAAGAAAAGCCAGCAAGCGCGTGGTCAGTTGGCACTCAGGGGCGGTGGTCACTGCGCCACGCTGCCCAGGGCTGGCTGCCAGCCCTTGCCCACCCAAGTACCTGATTGGCTGCACTCTCCAGGGAGCCTCTGGGCACCGCGGGCTTGCAGGGCAAAAAGGACAAAAAGGCTGATGGGCCACAACCCCCATGCCTGCGTGATGGTGCTGGTGCTCTTGTGTTCGCCACCACTGCCACGAGGAAAACAGCATGGAACCCCTGCTGGCCTTTGCTGTGTGGTGCTTCTGGGAGGGTGAGTGACCCATAGCAACCCATAAGTGACCACTTACTACCCCACAGCTGCCCTGTAAGTGCCTTGTAACTGTCCCATAGCTGCTCCATAAGTGCACTATAGGTGCCCCACAGTTGACCTGTAACTGACCCTGTAGTTACTGCACCTGGTATGGGAACAAGGGGCATCTGGGGTGAAATCAGGGGGATTTGGGGCTGGGAGGGAGGTGGGTGGTGCCTATGGCCCCGCCCTCTTGTTGGCTACACCCCTGGCTTTAAAGATCCATGCCTTTTGGGTTGGCTCTGCCCCTCCATGGCCCTGCCCCCTCCCCTGACCATACGCCCTCCCTTTCTGCACACCCCTCAGAGTGGGGGGGGGAGGGGCAGAGGAAGAACCCCAAAGTCGGGGAGATTCACCACAAAAATTGGTGGGGCTGGAAATGGGGGCAAAGTCCCTGAGTCGGGTTACATGAATTTATTAAATTTTATTTTAACTTAAACTTTTGAATTTACACTTTTAATTTTTGCTTTCAATAAACGCAAACTTTTATTTAAACTTTATTTAAGTTTATTATTTTAACTCAATATTATTAATTTAAAAATAAGGCATTGAAACTCCTCCAACATGCCTCAAAATCACCCAAAAAGATCCCTAAAAACCAGGGTCCCTAATCTGGGGTATAAGAATTTCAATAAATAGCATTAATTTAAAGAAATAAAGTTAAATATCAATAATCTAAACACGCTGAATTTTACCATAAAACAGGAGGAAAATGCCCCAAATCCATGCTTGCCCCTCTTTAAATGTTAATCCTTAAAAGATTAAACAGATTTTAAAACCTTTTTGCAGCATAATAGATACAAAAAGAGCCTGAAAAAGAGATCACTCAACCCAAAATAGCTGAAGATGGCCCCAAATTTGTCCCCGACCCCCCTTAAAACATTAAACAGATTTAAAATGTGTTTTTGTGTGTAAAGTCAGCTCTCAACTGCCCCCCAAAAAATCTCAAACCTTGGAACTTTAAATGTTATTTTTAAAAGTGCATTCATTTAAAAGCACAGCTGTTGTAGTTTGAGCCAGGTTTAAGATATTTTTCCTTTTACTGATTTTTGTTTTCCTTCAGTAAGCTTTCTTTTAACTAGTACCAGACTGTTCCAACTAAGACTGACAACAGTGGAATGTTTTTCTAACTGCTGGGTCTTCAAGGTCACATCTTTACTCTGCCAGCTCAGACACTATGACCCCCCCCATAAGAGGCTGAATTAGACAGCAAAATCGGCCAGAGGAATGTTGGATGTGTTCTTCCAAGACAAAGTTTGAACCATTGTCCCTATTTTTACAACCCTCTGATCTTCCTCCACCTGGGCAAAGGCTCTCCCAGGCATCACAGCAGCTGTGCCTCACGTGGTTCTGCAAAGGCCTGGCTGTCCCCTGATGGCAGCCTGATGGAGAAAGGAAAATGGGCAAGCTCCTGCTGCCCCGGCATAAGACGGACACAGGGCATCCCTGCTCTTCCCCCCTGCCCTGTTTGCAAGTCCTCTCTGGAGCTGAAGCCCAGACTCAGGTACAGCAGAGGCCAGGACTGCTGGGAGAGCCCCTGGGGCGGCACAGGCTGGCACCTGTCTTGTGGGCTGGGCAGAAGGACACCAACCTGAGGGGGATTTGGATCCCCACAATGCACATTTCCAGCTGAAACTGGTCACTGTTTCTGCAGTGTGGGCACTGGAAATATGTAAATCCACTGCATACAGCGTATTGCTGCAGGAGAAACAGGAGCCGGAGTGAGGTGCTGCCAAGCGCCTGCCATGAGGGGTCGGCTCCTACCTGGGTGCAGCTCCTGTGGATCCATGCATGTTTCACACTGGGCACACCCTTATGTCCACCACAGGTTCCAGGCAGATGAGGCAGATGTCATTCTCCTCCAGGGCTGCCTCCACTGCCTGCTGTGCGCCGTGCTCCCAGCAGAAGGCCCTGGGGGGAAGAGGGAAGGGGTGGGCAAGGTGAGAAGTGCTGGATCCTTCCCAGCCCAGGGGGAGCAGGGGAGAGGAGGTACCTGAACGGAGCCAAGTTGTATTGGGTGACACATTCACCCTGTGCAGCACAAGGCAGATGGAAGCTGCAGTCACAGCCCATCTCCCAGCACAGGTGATGGTGGCCTCGCTCTGGCTGCAGACGAAGCAGTGCTGGGAAGAACAGAGCAACCCCCATCAGCAGCAGCCTCAGGGCCTCCCCCGCCAGCCCCGCACCTCCGAGCAGGGTGCAGGATTTGGCCACTGCAGGGTCACAACCCCACAGACCTGCTTGGTGGAGGAGGCTGCTGAGCCTCTGCGGAGCTGCTGGCAGCATGACTTTTGTCCCAGGGCTGGTTGGAAGGGCTGGGGTTTCTTTCTTGGGGTCTGAGCTAAGCTCCTGCAAACCTTTCCTGGCACAAATCCCCGTTCTTCTCAAGTCCTCACCTTTTGTGCTGCCTGCTCAATGCCATGTCTGACACCAAAAGTCAAGTATTCTGCAGTGTCCTCTGCTCAGAGAAAAGACAAGGGGCTGATGAGGAGAGTGTGACAGGGACTGCCTGTTGCAAAGCTGGCGGAAGCCCCAGGGTAACTCACCAAACAAACTCATGGGCACAGACACCGTCTGTCTCCAGTGTGGACCCAGAAATACCCGGGTTGCGATCTGCTCAGTGACAGAGCGTGCAGACTGGAGGGAGAGAGCAAATGGCACAGAGAATGAGCATCTCTGGAGTGCCAGGGAAGCGTCCCTGCGGGATTGTCCTCTCCTCTGACTGCCCAGCTGGCTGAGGGGCAAGGGCTGGAGGCCTTAGAGAGCAGGGGGCACTGCAGGCATCAGAGTCCCAGCAGGTGCCCCCTGCCCAGCCTGGGTCCCACTTCTGAGGGAATGAGGGGCCCTGCCCTGGGATGGTTGGGGAGCTCTGACCTCCCCCTGCACCGCTCTTGGCCTCACGCTGAGCGCCCCTCTCCCTCTGCTGGGCTGCGGGAGGGACACTTGGCTCTCACCTTGCTCCGTGCCCTCCGACATGGTGCAAATTAAGCATGAGTCTTCCATCTCTGAGTCACTGGGGTGGTTCCTCCAAGTGTTCCTCAGGTCACGCTGTAGAAGCCAGATGCAGATGAGCTTGCAGAGCCCCAAGGCGTGGGGGACCCCCTCCTCTCTCAGCAGCCTCACACGAGCCCCATCCCTCTGTCCTGGTTTAGTGACTGGGGCAAACCACCATCCCGAGGGCAGAATTTCTCTTTGTTGCCCCCCCCCCCAGCCCTCCCAAGGGAAGACAGAAGGGCAATAAGGAAGAGAGACTTCAGGGTTGGAAGCTGAAACTGCAACAACCGTAATACAGAAAAGGGAGTAAATTGTCAGGAAAAGAACAGATCTATAAACTTCTATGTAGATACAAAAATGAACTTGATGATGGCAGGAGTAGGTGGGTGCGGGTCCCTTGTGGCAAGGCTGCCTCAGGAGGCAAGGGGATGATGGGAGACATGGTGAGCTCCAGCCTCTCAGTAGCCATGTGATGGACCAGGTACTCCAGCTCCTCCACCTGAGGCTCAGCACCACCAGCAGCACCTCTGAGACACCTCCCCAGGAGGGGCAGAGCCTGTAACTGAGTTCTGGGGGAAAAGAGGCAAAGTTGGAAGCTGTGAGATCCCTAAACTGGAAAGCTCTTACTGGAGAACCTGGGCTGCCAGGTGTTCACCTGTTGGTTACAAGGGACCAACCAACATCCACAGACTTTCTGCCAGGCTTCAGACACTCGTTATCTCATCTCCAGGCACACCTCAAAGCTGGGCTCCTCCCAGAGACCTTTCTGCAGAGCTTTATCTCACCAGGATGCTCAGGTCAGAGGCAGCAGCAGGTCATGCCATGAGGGCAGTGCTAAAGCAGGCCCCAGGGGAGCTGGGGTAGGAGAAAAGCCTTGGCAGAGCTCCCTTCAGGACCAACAATGTGCACTGCTCACACAGTTGCTGTGCCTGGAAACCTTCACTGCTGGCATTCCCAGGAGAGATTATCCCATGGGATTAGCTCTCCAGGAGCCAGAACCCTGATTTTACAGGGCAGGCTGCCATCTGCAGGCAAAGGCCTGGTCCCACATCCATAAAGATCACCCCCAGGAAGGCTACAAACAGGAGGGTGGACAACCCACCCTGCACAGGCACCCAGGAAGCTCCTTTGCTCCAGGCTGAACATCCCCAGCTCCCCCAATGGCTCCTCAGTAGATTGTGCTCCACACCCTTTTCTTCTCTAGACGTGCTCCATTCCCTCAACATTTTTCTTCTCCTGAGGGGCCCAGAACTGACCCCAGGATTCAAGGTGGAGCCTCACCAGTGCCAGCACAGGAGGACAATCCCTGCTCTAGTCCTGCTGGCCACACTGCTGAGAGAGGGAAAAGGAGAGGGGGGAGGAAAGAAAACCCCTCAAAAACCCACACACCAGAAAATACATGTAACAAATCATTTAGGACCAGAACAAAAAGGCTGGCATACCACATCTGGCTGCTCTTCCCCAGTTTTTTTTATTTCTTCTGATGCTGCCTCTGCCTCTTGAGCTTTCAGCTGGGGCAAAGCACAGAGCAATAGGGAAGAACTGGCTTTTCCCCCAGCCCAGCATGGTGTAGGTTTTTCCTGCTCCCATCACACCATAGACAAACACTGGGAGGAGAGAGGGTGGATAGTTTAAACAATTATTAATGAAGGGGAGCAGCATAACATCTGCTCTTCACTGGAGAGGAGAGTGCAGAGCTTCCCACAGCAGCCCCTGCAGCAAGGGTTACTCACAGGCTTTGTGGAGGCAAGACAAAGCTCCTTACCCTCCCTGCTGCCTGCACTGGCCTTTACTGACATTTTTTTCCCCTCATTTCAGCCTCTCTAATTTAGCAGAGCCAGAACGAGTCCACAAACCATCAACCACTTGGAGGTCATGCACAAGTCACCCCTGAATCTGCCCCTTAACAAGACCACCAGCCTGTTCCCTCGTCTCTCCCCAGCAGGTGTTTTCCTTCCAGACCTTGGAATTCCTTTCATTTTCTATCCGAATCTTTCAACATCCTCTTTGAAGCACCACTGGATGGAGGGGACCTGGAGAGATCATCCAGTCCAGGCTTTTGCAAGAAAGATGGCCCAGATGAATTTATCTCCTCTAGTGGCATCTCAACCATCAGCCATGGGGACTCTTGTTCCCAGGGAGGTTGTTCCAGTCAATGACTGTTTTCACTGTAAAAAATGTCGCACTGCAGCCCTTCAGCCACCTAAAGGGCTTAGAAGATAGTTGGAGAAAAGACTTTACTAGGGCCTGCAGTGACAGGAAAGGGGGAGGAACAGTTTTTAACTGCCTGAAGGAAGAGTTAGATGGGAGATTAGGAGTAAATGTTTCACCATGAGGGTAGTGAGATGCTGGCCCAGGTTGCCAGAGCCTGTAGCTGCCCCGACCCTGCAAGTGTTGAAGGGCAGGTTGGATGGGGCTTGGAGCAACCTGGGCTGGTGGGAGGTGTCCCTGCCCACGACAGAGGGTGGGGACTGGATGATGTCTAAGGTCCCTTCCAAGCCAAACCAGTCTGTGGTGTCATAAAAATGTTTCACATTTTGCTTCCCCTCACTTATCTGCCCAGATGAGATGACATTTCCACATCAGGATTACCCCCATCCTGAGCACACCTGCAATCACCATGGCTTGGTGCCACCAAGTAAAAAACCACATTATTTCCATGTTGCTGTTGTGTGTACCTCCCTCTCCAACTTCCCAGAACCTTCCAAAATAAATCCAGGGCTCCTCTGATCCCACACAGCCAATGAGCAGATCGGACAGGAGCTCCCCAGGGATCAGAGGTGTTTGCTGGGTCTTACCAGAGAAGCTGTAGCCCCTGAGGACACTGTCCAGGAGACTGCGGGTGGTGTGCTGGAACACCTCCTCCTGCGTGGTCCTGTTCCAGGAAAGCTGGTGCCGGACGAACTTCAGGTCCTTGCACCGGTGCCTGGGCCCACGGGGGGGCCACAGGCTGCCAGGGAGGCTGCCGAGCTCCTCGGGGTTGAAGATGAGGATGTGGCAGAGGTGAAGGAAGGGGGCCCAGCCTGCTCCGCTCGCAGGGGCCGCACACGCATCGCAACGGGCACAGTGCCCTACTCGGGCAGGGGGCAGCTGGGGGCAAGGCACAGCGCTGGATTTCAAAGTCCCCGGGACCTCAAGCACTCTGGGGGGTGTGGGAGTGTGTCAGCCAGACAGGCTGAAGGAGGTGTGTCGCGATCTGCGACCTATTTTATCTCCTTTTTGGAGTGAATTTAACTTAGTGGGATCTGCCGAGAGGGCCACACACGGTGCTTGCCTCTCACAGAGGAGCAGTGAACTTTGGCATTGACTTTTCGGGTGAGACACTTGTTCAATGCTCACTAATGTTTCTAATAATAGCAGCCAACCCCCAATTAGAATTTATAAATACACGGTTTATTGAGGGGAAAAATAAAACAATTTGGGGCAGAAAGCTCAAAGAGGGTAATTAAAAGACATAGGAGCTCTGAAATGTCCTTGAAACACCAAATACCAAGCACTTATATATGCCCTTAATACCTATATAGAGATACAGCTTATAATTTACATAGCCAGATTCATTATTATTATCTATGAGGGGAGGAGGAAGGAGGGATATGCCCGATGCTTGTCTCATATAGGGTCGCAGTTTGTGTGCAGATAAGTGAGTCGG